AATTTCTGGATTGAGATTCGGAGACCCAAAGGGGGACCCTTATTCATCCCCAGTTTCATAGCACACCAGGGGCAAAGCACAGGCCGTCATGGCTGGACCCCCAGTTTGTGTTCCTAAGGTCAGATATTAAGCTGGAAGGGAGCTTAAGAGATTATCTTTAATATGAAATCACATAGTCAGAAAGTCATTTTTTAAAAAGCTCTTTCATTACTTCTGATTACTTCAAAAGATTTTAATCATTTGCAGCCAAAGGCAACTCACTAGTAAAATGAGCTCAGGAATCAGACCACTCCTGGCTTCCAGGAAGATGCTAAATAGAACCAATTTAGCAGTCAAGAGATCAAGAAGAAATTCTTGCCTTTGGGGAGACCAAGAGACAGCTCAGCAAAAATAGAAAGGGGCCGAACAGCTTGAATGGTGGGAAGTGAAGGAAGAGCAACACATTTTCCAACTAAAAATGGAATCACGATTGTGCTCAGATTCCACTCCGAGGAAGGTAACCCTATCCTCAGCTCAAGACTAAATCCCAATTCTCCAAGCCAAACATGCAGTCCCACTCCTCTGACAATAATAAGTACAAAACTGCCTGTGGCACATTTCTGACCATAGTCCTGCTGCAGGACTCTGGGGATAGTTTGTTCACTCTTAAAATGAGAAACACAGAGAAATTCAGTCTCTTTTACTTATATCAAAAAATTGTTGCAACTCAGTGTGATGACTGGGCTGTGGCAGCCACCTAGGCACCATAAGGGAAGCAACCTAAGGCAGGACTGATAGGCCTAGCATGTCAGAGCAGTGAGATGGAAGGAAACTGGATGCTTAGTAACTTGAAGAACACAGGAGTCAACAGGCCCTGAAGACACTCCACCTTGAATCATAGATCCTCCTTTGTTTAAACCATTTTGAGTTGGATTTCTGTTACCTGCCTCCAAAGCATCCTACCTGGTACATGAAACCATCTCCCATTTCCTTCGAGAGATTCAAACAGGCCTAGTCAAAGCTCCAGACATTTCCCAACTCCCAGACACTGCACTCCCACTCTCCTAGTTGTGTAAAGACAGCAGACCCTATCTGCTCTGAAGGCAGCTAGGAAAGCTCTACCATTACCAAAATGTGTTCCTGGTATCTGAATAGCACTCTGAGTGAGGCATGGTCCTCTTTAGGCAGGCAGAAAGTCCTGGGATGGAATAAGTCCCCTAACTGTGAGGGAACTAACCATATCTCTGTCTTCTTCTAAGAAATGTAGGCACTATTACCCACTGAAGCAGATGCAAAGACAGGAACACAAGTACAGGAGTTTTATTAAAGGAAATGCCCAAGGGATTAAATGGGGGAGGGAGGGGGACTCAGACAGCAGGCAGACTATGATGCACTTTGACCCCGAGTGAGGGAAAGAGGGGAGATTGGGTGGAGCTGCCCTAGGCTGTCACGCTGTAGCAATGCTCTGGCAGGACTGTCCTTCTGCCAAAGTCTCCTGTGAGAGGAGTGGTGTGTCCGCCAAGGCTGGACCCCCTTAGTCTTCCTGCCATACAGATGCAGCAGGCCCTTGGTCACTTCCACACCTGTGAGTAGAGGACCGCAAGGTGCCTTCCCTGGCTGTCACAGGCAGCTGAGGCAGGGAGGCAGGGGGCGGATGGCCTCCCAGCAGGGTAGGGAGACCCGGGATCTAGCCGGGGACCAACGTCCGTGTGACAGTCATAGTCCCCGCCACCCAGGGACTCTGTCAGCCTCTTTTAGTGAACTCAGCTCCGTCCACCGAGGTATCGGCTGGGCACCAGGTTGTTGTCATGCTGTGAGAGCTCCAGGGCACCGTGTGGTGTGGGCCAGGGTAGAAGAAGAAGACCCTGGGCTCACAAGGTCCACGAGCCACAAGCAACTGGGTACTAGGGTCCCTCTGGACTGCCACAGGCCACACACTTTGGGGCACTTTGACATGATTCATCTGGGGAACCTCAGCTGACTTCTGACTTAACTCAGTGCTGGAAGGATATAAGCTTGGGTGCTGCATCAGCGATGCAAACACACAGTAGCTTAAAGGAGAAAGCAGTCAGCATGTCCCCACAGATCAGTGGAGGTGCAAGGTGGGGACTGGGGCCCGGGCTCCAGCACTCTCGTTGCTCTGCCCTCCCCAGAATGCTGCAGAATCATGTTGCCAACAGAATCGTACTGATGGAGTAATGCTGCGGCAGCACGTGTGTGGGGCTGGCTGTGTTCTAAATGCTTTATAGATATGAATCCTTTAACCTATATCCCATGAGGCAGACAGTAGTAACTCATTTTTAAACAAAAAGCAAAGCGCTCCACCATCTGAGCTCTTGCAACCACACCTATGAAGAAGTTGGGAGGGGTGAGGCAGGAGTGGTGCACGCCCTCCTCCCTTTAAGAGCTCAAGTCAGATGGCCGCCCTTGGCTGCAAGGAATGCTGATAGATGTAGTCTCTGGCTGGGCAGGCACATGCAGTGCAGCCACTGAAATTTCTCCTCCTTTGCCTGGAAGGGGTCTCTCAATCTTTCTGTCATGATTTAGGCTCACTTCACCATCATTCAAGACTCCGTTCATCCTCACTGGAAAGACACTCCCACCCCTTCCCTGACCAGGTTCATGCCCTCCCCACCCGCTACCACTATCCCAACACAGGCTCCCACAAGCTCCTGAGATACCTTCTATTTCAGCCCTTATCATATATTATTATAAGATCTCCCCTGGGCAACAGACCAACAGACATTGTTTGGCCCACACTCTTTCCATTAAAAAAAAAAAAAACAGAAAAAAAATCATACAAAATTTCTTTCTTTTTTTTTTTAAGTTCTGAACTTTATTAAAAAATAATTACGTGTGGACCAGCAATAATGGGCACCTTGTTCATTCAACAAATATTGAATAATTCTTTGAACACCTACTATGCTGAGAAGAATTGAGACAAAGTCAGCTTATCCTCATTCTAGAGTGGGAAAATGAGGCAGAGAAACTGCAACTTGCCTAAGGTTAAAACGCCCTTAAGTGAGTTTTCTCCTTAAAAATCATGAAAGCACAGCCATATTGGGCAGTCATTCTTGTGTAACACCAGTCGACGCGCTGAGTAGCTCGCTAATTCCTATGCAGAAGACAGGGCTTTCCACACAGACCCCACCGGGCCCTACTGTCTCATGCCACGTCTGCTTCCTTTTATTTATGTCGCCCGCCTGGCCCTGCAGGAAGAAGGGGTTGCAAGCCCCTGGGCCATGAGTTTCTTTGGGGGACAAGGTGCATCTCTTCTGGGTGTACCCTGCACTTGGCACATCGTGCATGTTCAAAAGCACCTGTCAGGCGTGCGACTAGATCCGTGCAAACGTTCAGAATTAAAATTGGACTGAAGCGGCAGCTTACACTCCGCCCACCCCTCTCCCCAAAGGATCTATATTTAATTGTCTTTGCAAAATCAGAGCCTGTGAGCAACTTCGCACTGGAGATCCTTCTCAAACGTCAGAAATGCAGCAGCTTGGCCAGTCTCGTGCTCCAGCCTACTAATAGCCTCTGGCTGTGGTTCCTGGGCAGCCGCATTGTTCTTAGAGACAGAGAGGCAAAGGCGACCTTCTAAGTCTGACCCCCCCCACCCCCAGCCTCATCCATCCCTCCCTGGCGCCCTTCTTCCCATCTCTTTCTCCGAACAGCACACCCCGCTGCATATTCTGCAGGATGGCTTTTGACTTACCTATTTATTTTTGTCAGCCAGCACTCATCAGCGTGGTGGGACGGGGAAATAAGAGCCCTGGCCCACGTGAGAGCGCTTCACCGGGGTCTCCAGGGAGAGTCCTGAGCAGCCTGCCACACCAGAGGTCACTGTCACCTTGGCCTTGTGGGCTGTTTACCAAAGAGAAATGAAGAGATCAGTCAGATGTCAGGGAAATGCTAATGGCGGGCGCCAGGCTGGGAGCCGGAGAGGTGATCCCTTCCTTCCCAATCCTGCAGCACAAAGGCCTCAAAGCCAGCAACTCCGATAAGAGGTCAGCAGGCAAATGTCAGGTCCCTGACGGGCTGCGCCGCCTGGCCCGGCTGCAGAGGCTTCCAGGCTGCCTCTCACTTTTCCACATCCCTCCTCATGTCCATTCAACTGGAGGAAGGCTAAGTGTTTGAAACCCTGGCCCGCCCTTTCTCTATCTCCAGCAGGAAAGAAAGCCTCGTCTCTCTCGGGTCCCAGGGTCTGGAGGCACAATGAGAACAGCATCATTATCCTCCCGCCAGAGATAGGAAGAGTGGGATGTTGACCACATCCCGTCACTTAGCAGGATGGATGGGACTGGATTCCGCGGCAAAAAAGGACAGGAAACAGCGGGCTCTGTTTATGGCTGTGGGACGGATACACAGCCCGGCAGCCTCCCCACGCTGGGCCTCCTGAAGAAGTCACCACTGAACCAGGACCCCAGCGTCCTGAGGCCAAGAATGAAACAGGCCTGCTAGGTCTGTTTCCCAGGGGAGTGACTCTCTCTCACATTCCTTGTATTGCTTCTCCATCCTGGGGGTCACCATCCGAGATGAGCTTCTTGGGCTCTGCTTTGGGGAGCCAGCTCCATCCCTGCTAGAGTCTGCTAGCGTGCCATCGTCTTCAGGCAGCCCCTTTCCACCATCTCAACTTCAGCTGGCTGCTCCTTTGGGTTCTTTCCTGAGACGCTAAAGACTTACTTTGTCTGTATTGTCTGCATTCATTATCCAGGTTTTCTGCAAGCTCTCCTTTCTCCCCCTATCAGTCAACCTGCTTCAATTTTTCTCTGGGCTTTTTCCTCCAGCCCTGCATTGGTCAGGATAAAACCCGTGCATCCCGGGAACCCTGCCCTGCTACTCTCTGAAGCGAGACCACTCTAATCTGTTGACGTCACGTCAGGGTAAAACAGCAGGAAGATGACATTTTCCACATTTCCAGAATCAAGTTGAAATGATCACCAATTCACAAAGCCTCTCCCAGCTGCTTATGAAAGGGTAGTGTTGAAAGTATGGTTTTGTTTTTCCTGCTCCAAGGCCAGGGATTAAAAGAAAGCCCCCTGGTTCCTTCTAAGCCAGAGAGTAGAACTCTGGGGCCCATCGGCCAGGCCAAGTTCCTTTTGTTCGCACAGGTCACCGACGTTGTGACCATTTGGGGAGAGCTGCCCGTGGGAGTCTGCAGCAGGGGTGCACAGCCCTGCAGAGCTGCCAGCAACCGTCAGCGGGGACTGCGGAGTTCTGTCAAAGTCTGCAGGGCAGCGGAGCAGCTCCCCCACGGGAAATGCGCTGGGAGGTGCGGATGGAGGACGTGAAGTCCCCGATTGGTGTGCACTATGTTCTCCCTCGTCGTGTTTCATGGGGAACGGGGAGCGCCTGGGTGGTGGTGAGCATGAAGAAAATCACCCACTGAAAGCTCAGGACACAGTGACAGCGCAGTCTCAAACTGTCTTCAGGAAACCAAGCAGTGTCTGGAAGGACTGGCTGTGTGTGGTTGGCTTTCTGAGGATGGAGGGCTCTGCAGAACCACAGGGGCCGGGGGCTCAGACGAGTGAGTGTGAGGCCTCACACGGCCCTCTGCTAGCTGTTTTCCTTTCTGCCCTCCTCCCAGCCCTCAAGCGGCTCCCAGCCCTGGAAGTTTGCCCCCTTGGGGCTCTATCACCCAGTCTTTCTCAACCTCTGGCTTCTGGTTGAGTTTGCTGAATAGGAGGCACTAAAGACAAAGAAAATGAGGAAGGGAGAGAGGCTGGGGCATTTCTTCCTCACTGCCATCTTCCTAAAGCACAGGCCTCTAGCAGCTGTGTGACCCTTCAGGCCTGGGGCTGATAACGGCTTTCGCTATCATGAGATGTATCAGTTATCTGTTCAGTTCAGTTCAGTTCAGTCACTCAGTTGTGTCCAACTGTTTGCGACCCCATGAACTGCAGCACACCAGGCCTCCCTGTCCATCACCAACTCCTGGAGTCCACCCAAACCCATGTCCATTGAGTTGGTGATGCCATCCAACCATCTCATCCTCTGTCGTCCCCTTCTCCTCCTGCCCCCAATCCCTCCCAGCATCAGGGTCTTTTCAAATGCATCAGATGGCCAAAGAACTGGAGTTTCAGCTTCAGCATCAGTCCTTCCAATGAACACTCAGGATTGAGTTATCTATTATCAGTTATCTACCGGTGTGCAACAAATCATCCCAAATATAGGGATTCAAATCAATCATTATTTCCTTGCAGATGATTCTGCAGTCTGGGATGGGCTCATCTGGGCAGTTATTCTGCTGGTCAGGGAATCACTCATGGAGCTGCTGTCATCTGACAGTTTGACTGGCTATTGGCTGGGTGCCTAGGTTCTCCTCTATGTGGCTTCTCATCAACCATTAGGCTAAATCAGGCTTCTGGACAGGGAAGTCTCAGGTCATCTTCCAAGCAGGTGAAAGCAGAAGGTGCAAGGCTGCCAGAAGCCTTGCTGGGACCTTTCACAATACCCCTGTTGGTGCATTCTATTGACCAAAGCAAGTACAGGACCACCAGGCCAAACTCAAGGAGTGGGAAAGTGGACCTCATCTTTTCATAGGAGTAACTCCAAAGTTTCTTTGCAGAGGGGCCTGGATACTGGAGTGGGAAGAATTTGTGAGCCTAACTTGAAATCTAACACCATAGTTTCTGAATATTTCAATTCTTTGGTTCCCTTAAGTTTCCATTCCTATGTGAGCGGTGGCTTCATCAGTGTCTCCTCAACGGAATCATCTGAATGAAGTTCTATTTCCTGCCAGGACTCTGATAAACATACCTTTCAATAGTAGCACTAGCTCCATTCACTGTATAGTTATTACCGTCACTGTTGTTGACATGTAGTCCTTGACTTGCTAGCAGTTTGATTTGCAGAGTCACACTTTTATCCCTTGTATATTTACAACTGTGGCATTTTATGTCCAATGCAGCCCTACTCATATGAAGAAAAGTTGTCTTATCAGGAGCGGCTGACACGTTTCCAGAACACACCATGGCCCAAACACTACCCAAGAAAGCTGTGTGGTCAAGATCTGACTCGGCGCACACAGCAGGCTGAGAAGGAGACAGCAGCTCACAGAAGAACAAACTAAGGCGCTGAGAGGCTGACCAGTTTGCTCCAAGTCATACGGCAAGTGGGAGAATTACAGTCAAAATCCTTTCAAGGAAAGTTTTCTGATTTTTGACACTAATGGTATTCTTTCAGCTTGTGTAAAGTCAGAAATCACAAAGGATTTAAGAAATGTGAATGGTGTACAACATCGTGTACTAAAATGGACATGATTTGCTTTCCTTTGTACAGTGTAATTGATATCCACATCAGAAGGCTATGAAACGTGTGGGAAATAAGAACATAGCATATGTTAAATTTATCCCTATTTATGCTGACTTCTATAGACAGCTAAGCATCAGACCGATGATCTGGAACGCATTCCTGAAAATCAGGCATGGCTGATACTATTTTGTTCTCTTGTAGCTATACAGCACAGACTTCCGCCTTTGCTCTATTCCACTGGGTTTTGCTCTGAGCATCCACCGAGCTCAAGTCCACTATCACCGCTTCATTGTTGCAGAACTGCTGGTGCTAAAAAAAAAAAAAAGAAAATCAGATCCTTGCACACAAATGAGCTTCTGGGGCCTGGTTAGTAAAACATACTTCAGGAAGCCTTCATAACCTTCACCCAACTGCCTATTGGAGTGAGGTTCTCAATGTCCAAACCAAGCAAAACCCTGGAAATATAACCCTGTTCGTCTTGTGGAAGATGCCTTCTGTCACTGGAGGATAAAATGGTTTCATTCTCCCACCTGGGGCGCTGCAGTAACTTTCTGATTGGCAGCCCTGCTTCCTGCCTTGTGCCCCTCCAATCCATTCTCCATCCAGAAAACAGTGATCATCTTAAAACACAAATCAAGTCATCTGTCTCTTCCCTGCCTCCAAAACTGTTACCACATAGCATTTCCCCCAAACTCCTTCCTAGACTATGCCTACATTTCAGGCCTTCTCCCGACTGACCACCAGGCTCCAGCTGCAGATGCTGCCTCACAGACATGCCAAGATCACTTTCTGCTCAGAGGTGCTGCACCTACTGCCTTAGAATGCTGTTCCCTCAGATCTCTGTATGGCTGGCTCCTTCTCATCAAGTCTCCCCTTGAATGTCACCTCCACCATGGATCCTTCCCGGCTTGCTCTTTCACATCACTCAGTTTCTCTTTAATCCCAGCACTCATCACCAGCAATATCTTTCTGGTTATTCCATTATGTATTCTCCTTCCCCCGTGAGCAAATGAGCTCCATGAGAGAAGCAGCGTTGTCGGGGGTCACAAACACAACCCACAATTCTGGGTCAGTCCCCAGGCAGCTCCTAGTTCAGAGGTCTAGCCACAGCACCAGCCTGATTCTGGAACAAGTGTTGGAATTTTGTTCTCAGCAGCTTTGGAAATCAGATCTCATTCCCAGGCCGTGTGACTCAGTCGGCATTAAGACAGAAGGCTGCGATGAGGACACAAAGCGGCCTTCAGTCTTCAGAGAGATAGCAGCCCTCTGAGGAAGCAAGTCACAGATAAAGGCTGAGAATCAGTCCCAAAGGCTGCCCTGGTCGCTGGAAGCTGTCCCCCTCTCAGACCCCACCAGCTCTCAGCCTCTCACAAACTCAGCAATCTCCCAGCCTTTTGAATGCGCCAGTATCGCCTAGCTACGGAATTACCACACAGATAGGGCTCTGGGGATGAAATTAGATTTCCCTTTGCAGAACAAAGACAAACACACACTCTTCTAGCCCATCCTGGGAGAGTTGCATTGGGAGGGCCTGCTTCCGGGCCAGCCATTCAAAGCCCATGGGCTGTCTTGCTTGCTTCAGCAGTTCCTGGCAAAGTGCAACGGAGTTCTCCGGCTTTGAAATCTAATTGCCTGCCCATGGCTGTGAATCCCTCTCCAAAGGCAAAAAAAAAAAAAAAACCTGTTTTAAGTAGGAAGGGGAGGGGAAGGGGGAGGGAAACAGTTCTCACGGAACCAGCCGAGATGAACCCATTTAAGCTTTGACATGATACCTTTGGGGGAAGCCAATTGTTAATAGTCTGAGAAGCTCCTGTTTAAAAGAGAAAGATCCATAAATGCGGCTTCTGTCAGTAATGAGAAAATGGAAATCACAGGCAAAACCAGAAAACTCATTCCCCCAGAATCTTAATGATCTCCAAGATAATTGTGCTGGTTCTCAAATCAAGGCGTGAACGGTGACAGCTCTGGATTTTCCTATGAGGGTCAGACAGGTTCATGTTTTTTTAATTGGGCTCATTTCTAAGTCCTGGGCTTGTCGTGATGCCTTAATCCCTTCGCTGTCCCCCAGAAAAATGCTGTCTCCCTCCGTGTTTCCCGCAAACAAACGCAGCTTCTCAAAGGGGATATGAGCCTCCCTCTCCTGCAAACAGATTTATCATATGACTGCTCTGCTGTGGGTGAACTTGCAGTTCTCTTGCATAAGAGAGCAATTTCCTGAAGGTAAAAAAAAAAGGGAAAACATCAAACTGCTGGCCGCTCCTCGTCTTCCATGTAAATATCTTGAGCCTCAGCTCCCAAAGATAATGGGAAAGAAGAGGTTTTATTTCAGAAGGATGAATAGCAATCTTTCAGATAGCAGGGAAATGCTTTCTTGCATTTGTTTTATTTGATGGGATGCACAAGCAGGAAGGAACAGATTCATTAACAATTTTAAGAGTTCCCCAGGCCAAAAGCTACCTTCTGGTAAGATCTAGCAGGTTAAAGTTCAACAATAATTAACAAATTAGAAAACTCTGCCATTATGGTGGAATATAAATTAATGGCTTTAATTAAGGATGCTTAAAACAAGAAATGAGATCTTAAAAGTAATCAAAATTATAATGAACCTTAGGATTGAAAAAAAAAAGGGAAGTGTAATTTCTCAAGTACGCACAGAGGTGTGAACGGTGACGGCAGCCATCAGTTCACTAATGAAGCACCAGCTCTTTGCCTGACACCGGCCTTACCACAGTCTCAGGGGAGCCTCAGAGCTGTCTCGGCCATTTCACTTGCCTTCCGGCTACCAGCTTCCTCCCACCCTGCGAGGGCAGTGAGGCCCGTCCCAGGTCCAGGCTCTGCTGGTGGGGATGGGCTATCAAAGAAACAAGAAAGAAGAAGGGAAGGAGGAAAGGAGGGAAGAGACTACCATTCTATATTCATTCACTGATCCAATGAATGCTTGTCTCACCGTGTGCAACTCACGCTAGGTGCCAGGGAGACAACGCGAGCAAAGCAAGACCCCCCTCCAGCCC